TGCGGCGGTCTTTGGTCGCATTGTTAAAGTAATTGTGCGCTTCATATGTTCTTCGGTCCCATCATTAGACCAATTATATGCAGCCCTGCTCGTGCCGGCAGACAGACGTCCAGCGACGACCCGCCCGGGTGGTGTGGCCTTTCGTCGGGTCTGTGGCTCCTCTGTCGCTGGGAATACCCCTTACCACGGCCGTCCTGAGCCGCGTCATTTGCAGGGGCCGTGACACCAGCAGATGGAGAGCTGAGCGCGTGACTACCGCCAATGGCCCCGCGGCCAGAGTTGATATCGGTCAGAGGCACTTGGCCTGCATCGGTGGCTTATTTGACATCAGACCGGGACCTGGTCAGAATCTTCACCAAGCGTTTTAGAACGGACGGGCGGCAGCCGTGCCTGGGGCCGCACCGGGGCTGCGCGCCCACACCTAACTCATCTCCCTCGTGGCGCGCATTGATAGCGGTCATAAAACTCCAACCAGGCTGCTTCGAAAACCAGCCATGAACGCCGAAATGGACGACCTACTTCGCGGCGTCACTTCGGGTCCGAATATCGCCGCCCATGATCAAACGCCCGCGGCCTGCGCGACCCTGCCGTCTGCACCACCAGCAGCGTTTCTAAGCTGGGTCTGCAATCCAGCGCACCCGTCCTGGCCGCCTTAGACGGAGGTCTGCGGAGGAGCATCTTGATGTGAGCGTTCTCGCACTAAACACGACTTTTCAGCCTCACCATCGCTGGTCCTGATCAGGGGCATTTAGAGATGCGTCACAGATTAACGCGCAAAGCGTTTCATAGCACAACAGCTGTATCTTCTGGAACAGCGAATTTTCAACAGATAATTTTATAACAGGATGGTGCTAGTAATGTGCCTGTTTTAATCAACACGAGTCATTTTGACTAACTTTCCAACCCCCGCTGCCCCCCAACCCCTCCCCCCCCATCACGATTTCGATGTTCCCTACCTTCCCAAGGAATAACCCTCCCAAACCCCGCTAATTCAGTTACCTATAGGCCTTCGGGCACTTCAACTGCGCGGCAATGCATTGCCTCCCGCAAGTCCAGACTCACATTTTATAAAAACTGTAGCGTGTGCTTAACATTGCTCGCTTAGTGTCCGAGGAATTTTTGATGTTGAGCTTTCTGCGCGCGCTCCGCACCTATCACCCAAATAAAGCCTATCCTTATATATATATATATATATATATATATATATATATATATATATATATAAGCTTAGCTCGCAGCTGTCTGGGCTGACGGGACTCGTGCGTGCCACTCAGCGCCTCATCACGGCCGCCCCAACCCAGCCCTGTTCTCTTTGGCCAGCCGCCAGCTCGCGGCGTCCCACGCCGGACCCGTATCCTGCAGCGCCGAATGACGAGCCTGTCATTCCCACCAGACCACAGAAACCGCGAGCATGTAGTGCAGCGTCCTGCTCTCGCTGCGCCACCACCAGTGCTCTCAGATTTGGAGCGAAAGTACGATCTGCAAGCTTTACAAATGCTCTTCCGGAACTTCAAACGCTAGTGTGGGAAAACTCAATGTTGACTTACTTTGTCAAAGCAGGGCCATCCTCCAACTTTCCACCGCGAAATTTTCGGCACCTTCGTGGCTGCAAATGATGCTGGGCTACGGTTGGAACTGTAGTTGTTACAGAACTGGTGGAATGATTGCCCGCTCGTTGGCTCTGATTACAGGGCAAACATCGCGCACATGTGTATCCCATCAGACGAATCCACAGTACATGGAGAACACGATACACATGAATAATATGGATGTCAGAACACTGGTCAGCTTCCTATGGCAGTTGCAGGACATGCTCCAAGTGGTCACTCTTTCGCATACTGCGCACAGTCGCGTGCTAGTCTTCAATTCCTCCATTTCCTGGGCGTGCGCATTTGTCGGGATCCTCTTGTTCTCGTGCTGTGCTCCCTGCTAGAGTTCGGAGGCTCTTGCGGGACACCCTAGCACACTTTGGTCTTGAAATAGCCCTCAGGAGAAGTCCAGAGGTCTCTAGAATGGGCCGGCCAGGGGTGGTGTGTCTTACAGCTGATCAAGCGTTCCCCGAGGTGCCGGTCCAGACACTCAGGCGCATTGTTGAACCATGGTGCACGGCTCCATCTTCCTAGAACCACATGTTAGTCTGGGAGGCCCGAACCTCCTGTAGACGTTGCTTCAAATCATCTTGACATACCTCTTGTTGATGGTGACGGTAGAGTTGTGGAGGTCTTGGACCGGTGACGATGATGACCGACGAACAAAAATGGACCGATGGTCCTTGTTGAGGTGGAGGCTCAACACGCAGCAACCTTCTTGAAGTGCACGGACTTCTCCACCACGGTGTCCAGGATGACGCTGGCTCAGATCCTGCAATGTCAGGTGCTCAACCCCCTCCAGCAGACACTGGACCTCGTCATTGAATCAAATGTCGTCGATGAAGTCAGCTTCGGCGGTGTGCTTGCGACAGAACCAGCTTGCAAAAGCGACTCTGAAGACCCGAGTCTTGTCGCTCTCCGGCAGTGCTTGATACACCGACGATTTTTAAAGCGTTCGTCCGAGGTCTGTTTTGAGAGTTATTCGCACCGCGCTGTAACTGGCGCTAACGTGGGTTGCAATTTTTCTGAATCCCTTCGTGGAAGTTTCCCGAACGATGATGGCTTTTTCACCTGTCCAATGCCTTCCGCAGGGAGCTTCGTGCGTTTATGCGCAGTGCGCACTTGACTAAGGTTCTCAATGTTGCTTTTAAACCAACACTATTAAAATCTTCTGATAGTTTTGGGATCGGGTGCGTGGATACCCTTGGAAGGTGGATCAAACAGCACGCTGGGGTGCTCTTATTGATCATGTATTGTACTTAAGTTGTACGATCTTAGCTTTCCCTTTCTTCCTCAGCGGGTGCATTTCGAAGAATCGGCAGTATCACGTATTATGCAATATTTCATTGCACGTGCATTCTAAAATGTCATTCACTTTACGTTCATCGTGGTTTATGACGTGGGTGATGGATGTTAATAGTTGAGATGTTTTTTAAGAGGTGTCGCTGCCGTCAAAGAGATGACAAACGTAAACAAAACGAAATTAAGTTTTGAGGGAAACGTATCTGTTGGAAAGGAAAGACCGCCAGGAAGATACACTTGTTTGAAGATAGAAGCTCCCTGGCTTTTTATGGAAAACTGCAATCACAAGTATATCAACTACCTGTATTTGTATTACTAGGCTTAAGACAATCGTGCCCATTTGGTACATGTGGATAACTGTAATCGGCAATTTTGTCCAAGACGCTGCACTGATCGTCGTGTTGGGTGGTATGTTGTTGAAGGCACTTGTAGGCGCTTAAAATCCGAATCCGATTTGGAGTTTTTGGGAACATGTAGCAGTGCATGACTATTTTCCTCCGTATTTGTAGCTCTCCAAAAAGACACGAACCCATGAATGTTCTCATCTACCCTTTAAGGTCATGTGACCCGTGAAAGTCCCACAAGTCTGACTAGTGCTAAACTGTGACAATCAGTGGTTGTCTATGTCAATAAAAGTCACAACACCTACTTATTGAGCCGCACTGATATCGATGCACGACACACATATGGAAATAAAAATCTAGCTGTACTTCATCACTGTACTAACGGCCTATCATTTCCTGATGATGTGCTTATACAAGGTACCCATTTATTGTCTAGCTACTCTTTAATTAAACCACGTTATGCTACGATAACATGGGCTTACATATGCATCAAACGCATTTACAAAAGACCGCTCATTTTGCCAGGATGCTCTGTCTTTCGCGGGTTATTTCTTTTTAAACGTTCTTTTAAGTGAGAAACTGTGTGTGAAACTTTTGGGATTTGTGAGGCATTTTATAACGTCATAACCTTTTACGTGTGCGATTGTGCAGTTTTAAAATTGAAACATAGGCCGAAACGTACCCATCTAACTATTCGCACTTGTCACCGTCAAAAGTACGCGAGTCTTTCCCATGACCAGAAGTGTGTGACGATATCGAGTCCTATGTGGCGGCTTCGTGGCCCCCAAAATTACGTTCCTCGTCAGAACGCCAAACTTTCTAGCAAATGAACTACAGTGACGGCGTGGGTTGCGTGCACGCGGCGTGATCCTCAGGAATGCGTTTTCAATGGTGACAGTAGCTCCCCTCATAAAAGTTGGGTTTATTTACTCCATTCTCGTAACATACACAGCAGCAACAGGGCGAGGAAAAGCCAGACTCGATTCCGTTTCCTCGCGCAACGCTCCCGCGACGACTGGGCAGACAAACGCGGCGTCCGCGAGACCCGGAGACGAACGCTGCGCACGTCTCCGACCGGACCCGGCCGTGGCCGTCCCGACAGTGTCCCCGAGGACCACTTGGACCCAGGACCGGCTCGTCCGCCACCAGGCGGGGGACACTCCGGCCGGACAGCCTATACACAGGCGCCCCGCCGCGCCCAGCCCGTATGACGCCGCTTCGTCTGCACTTGGCATTTTGTCCAGTCCGTTATGACGTTGTGAGGATGCGCCCTCGGACATGGCTCCTGCTCATTTTGACGACGCAGTGCTGATTGCTTTTTCCGCGCTGGTTCCCGTACGATCGCGCATTGTCATGGAAACCCAAGTAGCAGCATCCAGCTGGAAAGTAGCTGAGAGGTCAGTTGAAGACGACTGATCTGTTGCAGCAACAAGACGCGCTGGGGCCCGCTGGGGGTCTGACCGTCATTCGAGGGGAGGGACGCCCCCGAATTGTCTCCAGCAGCAACAGCGCCAAATACAAGGTAGTCACTGGTCGAGGTCAGATGGGGGGTTAGAAGAGGTCAAAGGATCGCGAGTCGGGGGCGTCTAGCGGCGATAGCTCTAGAAGTGTTGATGTTGGACGCGGGTCACGTCACCGTGCTGTGAAATGAGCTCCGACGCGGTGCCCGCGGCGACCTCAAGACAATGGCTTTTCCCAAGTCCTCTCCGTGACAGCAAGATTGTCGGAAGGCTGGTGCGCAAACCGAGGCCTTTCACCCGCTCACCTATGAAGTCGAGGTCGGGCTGCGTCATCTTGGGCAGCCGGGAGGACCACGGCTGGCAGGGTACGCTCTCCACGCCGTCATGCTCGCCCATCTTCTCTGAAAACAGAGCAACAGGTCGATACGCCAGGCAGGCTCAAATCTGCAGCCACACGGGCGCCGACTCGGCTCTGCAGCCAGTCTGGCACCAACTCGGCTCGCTTTGTGCTCATATGTCTTCCTAATGGCGTTTCTGTGTCCCGAAAAATGAAAATAAAACCCAGCCGGCTGTGGAGCGTCGGCGCTGGATCGCTCTGTTTTGCTCGTCAGCGCAGATGACGGTTGTGAACAGTTCGGAGTGACGCAGCTGGTTTTAATTTGAGTCCGCACCGATTAGCGTAGCTGATTAACGCCGCTAATTAGTTCCGCCGCGCCCTTTGATCTGTGCCCGAGTCGGCGGTGCTGTCTGCCCCGGTGGCGACGCCGTTCGCGTCAGGTCACGCATGCCCCAGCGCCGTGAAGTCCGTGAAGGGAGGGGTGACTGGTGGGTGCGTCTCGTGATGTCCCTGTCCCTACTGACGCCAGAGGGGTACTTGCTTAGGGGGAGGGTTTAATGGGAAGGTTGGTTGACTGCATAGTTGCACTGCCTGGCTAACGGAAAGGCAGGGGCAAGAACTAGGTAGGCGTACTGTTTGTTTGATGTGCCCTGATGCCGGTAGGTGTGGTGTTTTTAATGTGTCCTGATACCGGTAGGCGCGGTGTCTGTTTAATGCGCCCGGATGTCGCCGATGTTTCTGCCCTGACTAACAGATCCAAAATCGGGGCTAGCGGGTGAGTCGGCCCCGTGGCAGCTCAGCCCCGACCGAGGCTAGAAGAGCACAGTAATCAGCACAAACGCTGCATGCGAGGCCACGGGAACACGGCGCCTCGGCGGTATACTCCGAACTGTCGTGCAGCGAGGATGTGCCAGGCAGTGCGAGCGTCACGCCAAAGAAGGATGCGTTATACCAGCGGCGTAACGGGTGCATGACGCGGCACCATAGGTTCACACATTTCTGCGCCCAAAGCGTGAAACAGCGAGCCACCGTTTGTCTTTTGCTTTAGCTCGTTTGCATTGCATGAGCCGACGAACGGATGAAACAGGTTCTCGATATTTTCGATACCTTCCAGTGAACAATTTGCGAGATAGATGCCGAGCATTTTAGCACGATATCACCATTGGTCACGACATGATGACGTCACGAACTTTATCGGTCACGCTGCTCATGTGGCATACTTCATCTTCCTCCCAAGCGCTGTCACGCCATCGGCATTCAATGACTGGTCAGCACATTTGCAGTTGAGGACCACAGCGCTGCTCTTTTCCCAGATAAATTCCGTTAGGTCTCTCTAAGCCAATGACGGGCAGCGTATGAACAATATATTGTTCAATTTTTGTTGGATGTATACTCAACTCTATTTAATTCATACGAATCTGGCCTTTTTTAAATTTCGCATATAATGACAATTCCATGAAAATAAGACCACAACAAGACAATACATAAAACGCATAAATTACTTATGAAAATATTACCATTATACATATAGCACATCATAGCGCAATGCTTCATATTGCACTGCATGATGCGCGCTGCTATTACTTTGCTAGGAAGGTCTTGCAAGCTTGATATATTGCCTTATTCGATCTGATAATACCTGAGTTGTGCTTTTCCAGGAACTCAGCATGACATAGCTGAAAAGAAGGCTTGTTCTGCCGTCCAAAGGTAAAACCTCGTATGCTAATTTCTGGCCATTTTGCGCTTTTTGTGTCATCTTATTCGTCTTTTCGTGCTAAATTCAGATATTTAAACTAAAAGTCCAAACTTACAAAACCTTTGGCTAAAAAATTGGGCTAAGAGCTCGTGAAAATTTTAACTAGTGGTTTTAGCCAGGCATATTCAGCATGAGTAGACGAATCAGACGAAATAAAAAACATAAAACGGCCAAAAATTAACATATGGGGTTTACCTTTGGACGGTAGTGTTTCACAAAAAGCAAAGGCCTGAGTTGTAGCAGCGATTAGCGAGCACTTTAAGGCCTTGCAAAATCAAGGTGCTCTCGAATCATTTGCATGTACGCTGTGATAGCTGTGGAATATTGAAAAAAAGAATGAACAGCTGTTGAAATTGAAAACGCAGTGGAAGAAGCTCTGGACCGGGCCTAGGAAGATGCTGTGGGCCAGGCCTAATGGGAAGTTATCACTCCTTAACCTTGTGCGACGATCATTCCAGGGTTGTAGCAGTTTACATGCATCGTCGTGATGCACGGCACTTATAACATTACAGCATGATACCAGCTTTCATTGATCTGATATGGCAACTATTGGAGAAGTAAAACATTTGTTATTCATACCACTCCACTTTGATACATTCTTTACAAGGACAAAACAAGTTACAGCAGTCCACAACCAGATAATAATAAAAATTATCCCGCCATTTTAAATATTGCATTACCATGCTATCAAACTAAAGTAATTTGTGAAAATGGTTCCAGTGTATAATTGCACCGTTAAAAGCGTCTACGTGCACCATTTATGGTGCACCATTTATGCTGCGCAAGCTGTCCCATCTAGGCCTGACATTCAGACATTCAGCATGAATATTGTAATACAGTAGTAGGCATGGAATGGCCAATGACAGGATTTCCGCCGCAGACAGAAATCGTTTCATTCGGTTCATTTTTAATCCGTTTGAGAGGTTTGCACATAGTTCGACCTCAATCACGACAATGGACGCCTTCCTCCACTGAACGCGCTCCAAGTCATCGGCGAACCAGCGACAGTGCCCACCATACAGCTGCCGCCTTTCTGGCACCCCAGTCTGACCAGCCTTTGTAGCATTCCAGTAATCACTCAAGTAGTCGTTGTAGCACCCTCGTCTAGTCAGCCTTGCAGACACTCCAGAAGTACTCCAGTCTATGTAGTCAGCCTTGCTCACTCTGGTCTATCCAGCCTTGCTCACTCTGGTCTATCCAGCCTTTTTAGCACTCCAATAGGACTCCAGATTAGTCCGCCTTACTAGCATTCTAGTCTAGTCAGTCTTGCCGGCACTCAAGTCTAGCCAGCCTTCCCAGCACTTCAGGCTAGCTCGCCTTGGTTCCCCAGTCTAGCCAGCCCCCCTAGCACTCCGTTCTAGGCAGCTCTCCTTGAACTCCAGTGTAGCCAACCTTCCTAGCACTCCAGTCTAGCTATCCCTCCTAGCACTCCGGTCTAGCCAGCCCTCCTTGTGCCCCAGTCTAGCCAACCTTTCTAACAGTCCAGTCTAGGCACCTACGGCTTCTCCAGCAGAGTCAGTGTCCGAGTACCGGCAGCCATTGCTGTTCATGCACGGCTCTTGACGGCAGGACAGGGAGCCTATCTGCCCCACCAATAATTCCCATTTGCCAGCCATCTGAGAGCCTCAGTCCCGCAGACCCTGTGTCATTTTCAGCCCAGCTAACCGCCGGGGAGCGGCCGCAGCCCTCTCAATGTCTGGAACAGCTACCCTCAGGGCAATTTTAATCTGGTCGCCCATACGGGACATGCAGTTACGACAGTCCCCAGAGAGAGCCCTGAGAATTTCTATCCCAGCCCACTTTCTAAAACTGCCATGCTGTTAACTACGAGAAAATAACTGCTTGCATGCCGTCTTAAAGACCACCTTAGGTATTAAAAGGACGGTTCCACATTTGTATGGGGTTTCGAAATAAGATAGCTATTTTCAAAACCAATCCTTGCATTTCAAGTTATTCAAAATTTGCTCGTTCCCGATCTAGGCGCGTGCAAACTTGTGCAGGCTATTTCGCACCGTCTTTTTTGAAGTCACCCAGAAATGTATGAAATCATAGAGACGTCAGACCAATCGCTCCTCCTCAATGGTCATACTCCACTCAAGGTCTGGAGAACATGACCATTGACTTATAGTGTATTCACACTGTACTAATGATTTTCTATTTTACGTGACGTCACATAAAATCTTTTCTGGACGCGTTTACAGGGCGACCCGTTTTCTGTTTACATCTTAATAACTGCCGTGACAATGCGCATGCAGCGCCGCAGGACTTTCGTTTGTAGGCACTAAACGTATTTCTTACAATCGAAACAGCAAATTATGCTGTTTGTAATCGTTAAAACATCCTTTCATCACTCGTGGTCGGTCATGGGCACCCAAAGTGACTTGTTATTTTATGTTGACATATATCGATAAATATTATTGTTATTGCATGTACAGACACATTGACATTGACATTTCCTTAATGCGTTACGCCATTTCAGTCTCAGTGAGAATTAGTCGCGGAAAAAATTGCGCGTCCGGCAAAGATTCAGCGTGATGTCACTTAGGAGCTTCGTCTTCCGGGCCACTGTGAACCTCAAAAGGCATAGAATCTGTAGTGTATAATGTGATGAGCGACGTTAATGGCACAGATTCTTTGTTGTTCGGGTTGCTGTGAACACTTCCTTATTCGTGTCTTGAGCGTGACACCACAAGCCGCCGCATCAACGGACAGCAGTTGGCTTTTAACCAGCTACATGACAGGTCTTGATTACAAGCCGCATTTGGTGATAATGAAAATTGGACATTCCTTCTAGTTGACGGACAAGAGACCGGGAATCGGAAAAATATCGTCGTGACCGAGAATGCAAATGCAAATAAACGATATCAAATCACAGACTTATATACAAAAACAGAGAACCAAAATACAAAGGGCCAAAATACGCGCCCATAATAATCGTCAGGCTCATCATGCACACACAAATTAACGGGCCACCTTGCAACGAGTTGAAGTATTATAAGTAGCCAGTTCATCCGTTACGGTGGCAATTTTGCCACGGCCTGTCTGGCAGTCACCCAGACGTCAAAAAATGTTCCATGATGTAATCAAACGACGACGCTTTGAGTAGTACCTTTTTCAACAATATTGAAATTTTTGCCATCTAAAGCAGTCCATTGTACTAAAGATATACCACTGGTCACAAATGGCCATGCTCAACATATCGGGTGCTTGGCTCAATGCTTTCCAATGTGGAACATTGCATTTAAGGACTCTGGGGCTAATGTAACCTGTCCGTCAAATCTAGTTTGTTATTTGACCCATTTATGCATTTCAAGTTTTCATGGCGCATCCTATTTGTCTGTGGTAACTTTGCATTACCTACCCTACTAAACCCATATTGGGGAATGCGAGGGGCATTCCAGCATTCCAAAACGCTCTCGGAGACGTGCGTTTTACGACGTCACAGGCCAAAGAGCACTCCAGTATTCTAAAAACGCTCGCATGACCTCCGTTTCAGATCAGATTCAAGAGTTCCAGTCACGTGGCATTGATTATCCGCGGTGCACGCACGCATATGAGGGCTTAGTCTATCTATCCTTCGTGTCAGTGGTCTCTCCCTCATGAACTCCATGCACACCTGCAGTGCCTGGACTTCCTCTATCTGGCCCATCCATTCGTCCACCTCTCCTCTCCCCACCCGGCGCATTCTGGCCAGAAACGCACCTGCGAACTCGAGCCCGGCCAGTTTCCAGGTGCCCTTCTTGGTGACGAACACGCTGCTCGGACAGACATTCCGATGGACGACGTGTGCCGTGTAGTGCAGGAACGACAGCGCCTCCGTGATCTGGAATCGGAGGGCAGGGGTGCTGACGGCGTGGTCACAGCGGTCGGTGCGGGGCAGAGCGGGTCGAGCACGCTCACAGGTCTCTTGGGACCCGCCATGACAGCGGAAGATGCCAGGCGGGGATGGTCTGTTGATAACACTGACCCGCTGTGAGTTGGGATCCTCTTATACCAGAGATATGGGTGCTCGAAGTCATCTCACGTTGACGTAGCAAAAGGTCGGCAGGTCAGCCATAGGTTGGCGAGTGGGTGAGTGTATCAAACATATGCGGTCAGCGAATACTAAGGTAAGCCTTGACAAATGGATAACAAATCATGACGTGTTGCCCAAGTGAAAAGTTACGCAAGAATGACGACGTAAAATTATCGCAGCCTATGGCGGCATCGATGTTATGCTGTCGATTCCTGGGGAGGATAGGAAGCCGAAACACTTGTGCTAAGTCCCCAAGTTCAAAATGCTTGCTTCGGTTCACACGGGCGTTGTGCGCAATAATTGACTCAACATCCATCCACAGCCTTATATTCTACGGTAACCAATACTGAAAACCATATATCTGAAAACCAGATATGGGAATCAATTTCAGGTAGCATACGGTCGGTAACGACGCGGGCTAAGCATGTGTAGAAAAGCTGGGGTGGCAAACCCTCTATTACGACTATCACTCCAAATGACAATGTTAAAATTATGTCCATGAGGCTGGAGGCGGGCTGCCAACTGCCCTGCCTGCCATGCCACATTTTCGACGTCCCCCAGTGCATCGATAAAAAGCATGTGTCTGTGAAGTGCAACACCTCTGAGGTGTGTTTTATAAAACATTCTGTACTGAACAAGATCTGCACAATCTTTACAATCTTATTAAGTCGCGAACCGAATACCACGTACGCCAAAAAGAACGTCACATGCATAGCGTAGCATTCAGGCACGGAACGTGCATAAAGTAATGTTCAGTTACGAAACGTGCACTACGTAAAATTCCAATAATTATTCGAGATAAAAGTGCAAAGAGGTTGCCCACTTACGTTGAGAGTGCATACTTACGCGTCAAACCATTCAGAACTGGGTTATTTAATTGCCGCCGTTATTGCGCTTTTGGCCTTATGTGTTTAAGTTCTGATTGAGCGCAATAATCGGCTAGTTTGATCCATATGGGCCCTTATCCATTCGTTTGGGGAGCCAAAGCCAGGTAAGTTAGCATTCAGATCACACGGTAACTAAACCACCTTCTGTGAGCTCCTAAAGACGCTTCTGGCTTGGCCCCGTCCAGTCCGGTCCGATCAGCTCAAAAGCTCCCACCCAAAGCCGAAGCCGTTCGTTTCTCCCCGCGTCGAGGCCGGCGCGCACTGCGTCTTCCCGGCCTCGCTCGCTGCCGTTCGTTTCTCCCCGCGTCGAGGCCAGCGCGCACTGCGTCTTCCCGGCCTCGCTCGCTGCCGTTCGTTTCTCCCCGCGTCGAGGCCAGCGCGCACTGCGTCTTCCCGGCCTCGCTCGCTGCCGTTCGTTTCTCCCCGCGTCGAGGCCAGCGCGCACCGCGTCTTCCCGGCCTCGCCCGCTGCCGTTCGTTTCGACCCGCGTCGAGGCCAGCGCGCAGTGCGTCTTCCCGGCCTCGCTCGCTGCCGTTCGTTTCTCCCCGCGTCGAGGCCAGCGCGCACTGCGCTGTCCCGGCCTCGCTCGCTGCCGTTCGCTTCTCCCCGCGTCAAGGCCAGCGCGCACTGCGTCGTCGCGGCGTCGCTCGCTGCCGTTCGCTTCTCCCCGCGTCGAGGCCAGCGCGCACTGCGTCTTCCCGGCCTCGCTCGCTGCCGTTCGCTTCTCCCCGCGTCGAGGCCAGCGCGCACCGCGTCTTCCCGGCCTCGCCCGCTGCCGTTCGTTTCTCCCCGCGTCGAGGCCAGCGCGCACTGCGTCGTCCCGGCGTCGCTCGTTACGGGAGCGCAAACGCCATCACATCGTTGGCCAGCTCTCTGCGTGCGCTCCCTGGGGGCACCTCGGGGCCCCGACGGCAGCAGGCAACAAACGAACCGCACGCGCCTGGCCTAGCCCGGGAGAGAGGGCCGGCCAGCCCAGCTCGGACTCATCACAGCGCCCCGTGCGAGAGGAACGAGCGCCGTCCGGAGGACGCCGGCATGAAGAGCGACGCCGCTGTAGGACTGTTGGGAGCGACGACCTGCTGACACAGCTGGGTCATATTGATGCCCTAACGTCAATGGAAACGGAGACGGAGTTGGGGGGTGTGGGGGGGGGGGAGGGGTGTGTGAGGACGGGAAGGCAAAGCTTGATCGGGGTGCAAAGATCTGTGGGATCTGGACGCCAGAAAAGAAGAGAGAGAGCGAGAGAGAGAGAGAGAGAGAGAGAGAGAGAGAGAGAGAGAGAGATAGAGAGAGAGAGAGAGAGAGAGAGAGAGAGAGAAGAGAGGAAGAGAGAGATAGAGAGAGAGAAGAGAGAGAGAGAGAGAGAGAGAGGAGAGAAGAGAGAGAGATGGACACAGATACATATGCAGATAGAGAGAAATAGAGATAGATACCGATTCAGATAGAGAGGCAGAGACAGAGGACAACAATAGGCCGCCGCATTTCCAAATGGGCTACAAATGCAATTACATGTAGCAACACAGGAACACTGCAGTGTGCACTGGGCGCCTCTCCTCATCAGCCCGCCCTTGGCAAGACCGTCTGTTTTGTTTCTGAGGAAACTTGGATGGCGCGCAGAACGCTAGCATCTGCGACGTGAGAGACAATAGCAGCCTTGATTAGATAGCCACGGCTTCATCTCCAGGAAACAGGTCGACAGTTTTGCTGGTAATGGTCTCTTCATGGAAATAGTATTGCTTCCACGGGGACCTGAATATCATTTAGAGCGTGACAGTGGGAAAAAAACATATTGGGAAGAGAACGTTGTTTACGAGGGCGAGGGAGCTATATGGCTATTAGAGCCGGCAAGATACGAAGGTTTAACACACAAAAATTCGTTGGCGCCATATCCACAGAAACGAATTAATACGCGCCCGGATTCGACGATTTTTCATAACGCGAACGGATGGGGGAGGGAAGGAGTCGAAGCGAACCCCTTTTGCCATTTCCAAACTAAGAACGACAGAGTCTCGCCAAAATACAAGGGATCGGTGTTGGCGACATTGCGTGATTGGTGGCAAGCTTCTGCTGCTGGGTCAATAGCAGCCCCAAAACAGGTCAAATGCCAGGTGTCTTCAGTTCTTTACCGAGAGCTTAACCGGTCCGTATAAATCGTGCGACCTCGCAGTGGTGTCACACTGCGTGGTAGTCCTTCCACCCGCCTCGGGTTGTAGTTGGTCGGGTTCGGCCTTCTCCGGCTCCGCCTCGGCGGAACTCTATCCGGGCTGGGCGGACCTGATTGCTCGCAGCCCTGCCGAACTCGCCGTGCGCCGTGTTTGTCGAGGCGGCAATAGTGGCGCCCCGTCGACGCCATCGGCGCTGGTGCCGAGCCCATTTCCGGCCATCCGTCGGTGCCAGCAGCCCACGAGAAGTCCGCGCGATGCTGGGACCGCGAGGACTGACCTACGGAGGACGAACAAGGGAGCCCACGAGGTTGTTCCGAACACAGGACCGTCCTGTCCGTACCTGGACAGGACCGATCAGTCGGTGAAGTAGAATGCCCAAAGACTTCATCTTCCTACGGAAGATTGTGATAGCTGCAAGCCGATGACTGATCGTCTCAATAAAAGTATGTATCTGTATCTGTAAAGGGTGTCTTAAAGGAGCGCCAACCAAAGCGCCTCAGCTGGTGGAAGCCCCGACTGAGCAGAAACCTGGTGACACGAGTCCACGCACCCCGCACAGAGGACCTGTGCGAGGCCCCGAAACGCCCACGGAAAACCCTAACAGAATCAAGAGTTGGTCCGCACGAAGTCCAGATCTCACGCGATCTACTGGGAGGCCGAAATAGACAAGGTTCCTAGTGCCCATTAGCAGCTGAAAGGGCCTGATATTGGGCCTGACTCAACATCGGCCACTTGGTTACCACATGTTTGCGTTTAATTGCCTCGGCAAACAGGCAAAGCAATCGGGCTTTAGCGCCCTGGCCTTTCGACGCACGCGAACGCCATAATCGCAGTTCAATTTCGACATAACTTGGTCGAGGAAAACAGGTTGGTTTGTGGTGCTAGGCTTGATCTGCAGATTTTCTATACTTTGCTGCCAACTGTCCGCTCCCAGACCAATTTTGGCGCTCAAAAATGACAGAAGTGTTTCACGTGCAATTTTCAAAAGCTCGCTGTTATTTGATATGATTGTGAGCTGGCGAGCGACGTTAATTCAGCCGTAAAAGCTCGGCCATTTTTTGCTGCGTCGCGAGCACCGTGGGATGACTAAAAAGTTAAGACTACAGTTCAATTCAGCCCAGCACAGCCAGTGACCACTTAACATGCAGGCGAATCCCCCACCCCCAAAGCCACAGTTCTTATCATGAAAAGACTTCGCGTGGCATGGGAGCCAAGCAATGCTCTCCTTTTGTCATATTCATACGTGCGTTATTTGCTCTCACGATACATTGTTCGCCGGCGTCAGGAAAATTACGGATTGAGTGGGCATCCACGGTCACATATGATGTGCGCGTTTACATGCATGTCAAATGATATATGCAAATCGACATGGCATCACAGACTTTTGCATGTCGGCTATTCTCTTTCCAGCGTAGCCTGCCGGTATTCCCTTTTTTAGTCACCTTTTTGGCCGCTGGACACCACCGTAATTTATTTGTTCATGTATCCCGCTTCAAGGTGGCGGCGCTGCCTTATGTGACCGCTTTACCTTGCAAGCTGCCCCTACAGCCACGTTTGACCACGCCACTCGCAAGCTACAGTGCAAAACACAAGCCCCACAGGTCATGCCCTTATCGCGGCACCGATGCTGATGGTGCGCAAATGTTTGACCGCGTGCTGGTCCGGGCGCGAACGACCTGCGGACCGATACTTATCACGCCGTTTGGGCGGTGGCAGCGCCGTGTTGACCTCAGCCGGGCGGCTTCGAACGCCGCGCCTGGAACACGGCGCCGCCGGCCACCTCGCCTCAGACATGCGCCGTCGCATTCGACCGCACAGCCACAAAGGCGGCCCATTAATGCAACGAAGCGCGCTGGCAGGGCGCGGCCGCCAGGTGGGCGCGGCCCGCAGCCGGGCCGATGGTAATGCGTCTGCCGATAGCCCTGTCGGACGTAGAATGGTCGGAGCGCGGACTGTCGCAGTTCTCTATTGTGCCGGCGGCTGCCCCACCGCCGCGGCTCCGGTCGGTCGACAAGCATGGGTCGATAGAGCAAGCAGCGAAGTTTGCTGAGTCACTCACTCGACCGTGCGTGGAGGTAACAAACAAAGCTTTAAGTGAATAATTGAGCTTGAGGAGAATGGTGATTTCGGCTAGACAAGGCCACTGCCAGCAGTGCACGATAACCAAAGTAGGTGACGACACGTCCCACCAAAGTACACTGTTGCTACGAGCAAGGATGTAGGTCAGCCTTGTATTGAAGTTAACTGATTGGCAACTATGTGGCTTCAACGGCCCACCCGGACTGGGCCTATCACGTGTGTCACTGGCTTGCACTGCTTGGCCACCGACTGTACGGCCATGTTGCTTTCACCAGCATAACTTACGTTCGTGTAAGGCTGTTTTCTGCTACTTCAACTATGGTGGGACAAAAGTCTCTGGCCGCTTTACAGCTTGGCTGCATTCCTCGCCCCGTCGTGCGACAAGTTTTGGGTCCACCCACCGGGACTCAAACCGAGATCCGGGTTTGAGTTCCAGGTCAGTGGATATAAAATTTTCCGCACTTCTTGCGAAGAATATCACCAAGCTGCAAAGCGGTCAGTGAGTTCCAGCCCATCAAAGCTGGAGTAGCCGAAAGCACAGCTTTTAACGAACTTCATTGTAACTAGCTGGAAATAAAACTTAGGCATCAAAGCTAGCATTTGCCGGTTTTGTCGTCTCCATGGCTACCTTCGGATCTTGGGAAACTAAGCGTAAATAAATACTTTAAGTGAACTGCATTATGTAACCGATTATACTGCCTGCAAAGCGCGGATATCGCTCGACCCTGTCCGACCCATGCGCTCCATAGTAATGGGCTGGTATGCGGTACATGTTACTTTAAAAACAAAGGGTGCGAATACAGGTTGCTGCGACGACAGCTGAGAGAGATGATCTGGGAAAATAAGAAAGATTGCAGATCAATCATACAAGACCAATGCTTCTCAGAACGATTTGATTTTCAGCGCGTTGCTGGTAGGCACTGAGCACATAAATCAACCTAAATTCACTTACCTCGGAGAGTATTTATGTTTTGAGGAGATTGTGTACCAATCTTCAGCAAAGCTTAGACCTATGCGCTAAGCAATCAAAGTGCTTTATGTCACGATTTAATTTGCATACTTTTCTGCCTAAAATGAGTAATACAAGACCATCGAGTCATGTAGAAGCAGAATCCAATTCGCACGGCCGGACTGCGTCCCCCATCAGCCGCGGTCACGTCCAGGACATAGCTGAAGCCTGCAGCTCGCGCCCCAGCCGTGCGCGGCCTCTAAATCCAGCCTGCGTCCAATCGGGTCAACTGCGTGGTCACCGATGGTGCCGTCTGAGGGCGGCGGCAGCGCCAGCTAAAGGAGAGGCGCCGGCCGCGGCCCACGCGCTGCGGGCAGGGGCATTGATCGCAACCGCTGCAGGCGGCGCGTCCGGGGCGCACAAAACGTGTCCCAGGGGCTACGGCCGTCACCCGCCGCCTCGCATCTCCGCCAAAGTCGGCCCGTCGCCGGCAGCTGATGTGGGCGCTGCGGCGGACGCTGCCGCGGACGAGCGGCGTTAACGGGCGTCCCCGCCCGCACGACGCGCGTTAGACGAAGACGTGGACGTGCCGACGACTGCCGTGCGCGAGTCTGCAGCATCCGTCGTGGCGTGTGTGAGAGCGGCAATCCTGGCAATCAGCACCGCTGAACCACGGCACCATCGCCAGACGCTCGGCTTCGGCCGCTTCACATGGCTTTTGCGGTGACTGCCGCCTGCGGATGCGCTCGGTACGGGCTGAAGCGTGGTCTGGCGGCGCGGTCGGTGGCCGCCGAGCGAGGACGACCCGGGCGCGGTCAGCACACTCACGTGGAGGCCTTGCTAGCCGCCCCTGGAGCGGCCGGCCGGCGCTCTGCATTCAGGTCGGGCGGCGGCGGCGCGGGGCTGGGCACGGACAGGTCATTACCACGCGGCGAACAGGGGGCTGGGGGAGTCGCTTCTTGTCTAACGCGGACGCGTGCTCGGCATGCACTCGGAGGGAAATTGCCGCGAACTGATCGCCAAATTGGCAGCCTCGTACGCGTGGCAGCCGCCTTCGCCGCTTACCTGTAGGATGCCATACTTGAGCTCGACGTCAAGAAAGTTGTAGTCCTTGGCGAAGCCGGCGTTGTCAGGCCGGTCGGTCTCGGTTGCCGGCGTCAGCACATTGGCGAGGCAGACCAGGACGGGCTCGGAGGCGAACGACAGCGTCTCTGCGCACTCCTCCACCGGGTGCATCACCTGGGGCACAACAATGCAGGCTGGGCTAAGCAGCTCGACAGTTCGGGTCTACTTGGTGAGTTGCTTCAAGCAGAACCAACTAGACTGGGGCGCACTGTTCAGCAGAGCCCTGTTTTAACCTAGTATCGTTGAGCCACCTGCGGGGAAGACCTGGAGCAAATGGTTCAACGATGCCCGTGTAGTGTAATACCCGACCTCGGCGTTTGTGAGACGGGGATTTACGCGGTGCGTTGGAGGCGGTCGGGGTGCGCACCGAGCCCTTGGTCGCCATCCGGAAGTCACCGCGCACAGTTCATTTTGACGGTGTGCATATCGGTGGAAAGTTCGTCATCATTGTGTTTCTTAACCTTCTTCCTGGTGGCGAGTCTCAACACAGGCGTTTCCAACCATGGACGGGGAGGGGCTTGCGGGGGGAATCTTCCAAGGAGAGTGCCCGGTTTCGGGGAAACTGCGATCTGGCCGAATAGCATCTGAGTCAAAACTGTGGCCGTCAAGTGGTGCACGCTGGCAGGCATTGACTGAAAAGTGATGCTGCCACATGCAGGCTTGCACCGCCAGCGATGAACTGAACATGTCTGCTATATTAGCTTACGGCAAGGGTAGTGCTCCACTGATATAAGCGGCCAGGCGTTAGTGAGAAAAGAAGGGTTCAACTCTGTGGTTCGAACTAATTGCCGATCAGCTGAGTTTTATTATCTGAATCTGGGGAGAGAGGGGCGGAGAAAAACCTATGTCTAAGTCTTTCAGTCAGTGGGAGATGGACGAGAAAATTAGGTAACGGCTCCACCAAGCATTTGTGTTAGTGGGCATTTGGTGCCCACATTCGAGTTGTTAATTTCACCGTCCTTTTGCATAGGCGTAGGAACGTTTCAAGAAGTGTGCGGGGGGGGGATGCCGAGCCCAGGGTGTACTTCGAGAACTTTTTTTGGAAAGCGAGCCCGATGACCGGGGGAGGGGGGGGGAAGGGATGCAGCCTGTTATCGCTCTTTATTCAAAGGCCATGACTGCTTTGCTAGATATGCATCTAGGGCTGTTTCTCACTGATGCACAATCCTGCCTATTGGACTCATCTGTCATTTGGCAAATAAGGCTATCCAGCTTTCCTAGATAATTCGTCCATTTTAACATTGTCTTTCCTGGGGAGGTTAAATTCCACGAGCGGGTGGGCATTTCGGGCCATTGAGGAAGTATCTGCCCACACAGTGTAGGTGCCAAAATACGACCTGGATAAGGCTGATGAGAATTTTGAAAGCGGATCGATGGCTCACAGTGCAACAGATTTTTCATGCGGCTTCATTTCGCTGGCTGCTTTTCAAGAGATCAGACTTGTCGCAGCATTTTAGAAGGAAACAAATTCGGAAGCTTGGAAGTGCTAGAAGCCCGTGACACAAGCCATAAAACTGGAGATTCTCTTTTAAGAATCAAGCCACCTAATAGAGCCCATCTGTCACAAGTTCCTTATCTGGGCCCTGCTCCTGTCCGCCGTCGGTGACCATTGCCCTGGCCCGGCTGTCTCCCGCATGCATGACTGTGAACTGATCATATGGCTGTTTTGTTGCATGCTTTTGGATCAGCGTTTCTACTACATGGTGTATGAAACATGTGGTGGACACTTGCAACAGTATTTTTTCCGCATTATCTTCCTTCACACCACGCCATCGCAGAAAAATAGCCCGCGGGAAGCTGTCTGCTTTAGGAATGAATTGGCCCAACGGACACTTCATTGTCCATCCTGCAACGTATACGACTTCATCTGCTTTTGTGTGTAGACAGGGCCGTAGCCAGAGCCTTGCCAAGGGGAAACACAAGGGTGACGAAAGCCCATCTTACGGTGATCCCCCTCCCCCAAAAAATCCCCGGATATAGCTTACTTGTTAACAAGTGGCACGGCTTTATTCGTATTATTGTTATTTTTACCTTGTAACCAGAACGGAAGCTAGGAGCAATCGTGAGCTCAGTTCTGTTTGTATTTTGAGGTCAATAAACTGCAGGAATCAGGCGTTGAACGACTGCATGGAAGAAATCACCGGCGCTCTTAATTTGCAATGGTTAGAAGGCTTTCTAAACCGATAGAATTCAGATGCCTTGTCACAAAAAGTTATTTGGGTTCTACAGGCATTGAGGACATCGCGAAGGTAACTTGTACATCGATATGTTTTATCCAAATTTGAAGATGAAAGTTTTATTGCAGATCGAGTGGTCAACAATGTGCTTTTAACATGGTCAATCCATGTTTGTCTGGGAATGTTCATCACTCAGTCAAAATCGATTAGTGACACAATTTATGTTACGTGCTTTTTAACATGCACACTCGCAAATCTTAGAAAAAACTCAACGCCAGGCTTAGCAGTCTCCATAGTCCGCGGAGCCTCAGCCCAGTAGCCAAAATATTTAGCCCATGACCCACCGCTGGACGAAAAGGATGACGCCTCTGAAATGCTTACCTTTAAACACTTAAAACGACTATTAATACAAGTTATGTTATGTAATTTTGAACATGCGCACTCGAAAATCTTAGAAACACAAGCCTCGATCCCAGGCGTTACAGTCTCCGTAGGCCGCACAGCTAATATTAAGTTGTGGTCAACGGGTGGACGAAAATGACGACGCTTCTAAAAAAGTATCCTTGAACGCTTCAATACATCAGATCTTACATTAGGAAGGCAGTCTGAGCGCATATTTCACTGTGCAATTTTAGACTGATGAAAAGAACAGATTGGCCCTTAAAGCATCGCGAAGTGGGGCTGTAATTTATAGGTTGAACTGGAAGAGTGAGGGTAAAATCTCTGTTTTTTCGTGTTTTGTAGCTGTTTGTCTATCCAGAAGACAGATTGACACGGCGCCCGCCGTCTGGTGGCACTTGCAGTGGCCGAGACTTTTCGGTTTTATGAAAGTTGCAACCCGGACCATCCTTGTCCTTGCTCTCGAGGTTGCGGGCGGGCACGCTCAAGCCTTTTGATGTAATTTGTTTCTGAAAAATGAGTGCTCTCAGGCAACATGGCATGACCTTGCTCGCTTATTCAAGCTCATGTCGACCCACCCTACTCAACAATAATGAGACACCCATTTGCTCGACAATAATGAGACCACTTATTTCCTGCCAGGCAAGGGGCCTCTTGAGTAGAACACCATGGCTACATTACCGTTTCCGGTCAAGGGCTGAAGGACCATTCCATCCCATCGCGAAGTGTCTTCTGGCTGTTATTCTGGCGACACGGGACGGGTTCTCCTGGTAGATACGGAGGCCATTACAAGTATATATCATATCACACTGTTCCCATCCTTGACACGGGAGGCCCTCTGAACCGCGCAGTTAGCCCCGGATCAGCACAAGAACCCTCATTGACGCAACAACATCCCTGATCACTGCAGGTAGTCCGATAGTTGTCACATAGACTCCACTTCGGTGTTTTTCTGTGTTCATCAGAGGTATTGAGTTCTCCCTGACTGTAGATTGTAGATGAAATGGGGTTCCTAATTTGTATTAACATAGCTTACCCATGTTCGGCTTAAAATGTTCATGATCCTGTCAGAGCTGATAACTGATAAGAAAACTATGTAATATGGTCTTGAACATGCGCGCTCGCAAGTCATAGCAAAAAATGCCTCTACGCTCGGTGTTGCAGTCTCCAGGCCGTGCTGCGTCGGCCTTGCGGCTGTAACACTAAGCGATGGCCAATGAGCAAACGAAAAAGGTGACACATCTTAAGAGGGAGATGGCTGTTGAACTAGGTAAATCGGCATGCATGTTTCATGTAATGCAATATTAAGCCAAATGCATCCTTAATCTGAAAAGTGGGGGCCAGTTAACATTACTGCCCCCCCCCCCCCCACCTTGAAAAGTGGGGGGTCATGGCCCCCATGGCCCCCCTGTTCCTACGAACATGTCTGTTTGGTATCTGTTCGTGGTTGACATCCTAGGAAGCATCATTCGTAATTAAAAAATTGTGCGGCCCTGTTACAAGTTGTACATTGCACATGAATCTGTCACCGCCGACCTCCTTCTCAAAGGCTCAAATGGACTTCCTCATGCTGCTGTATTACAATGCCCCTTCGCATAAAAATCAGCGTAGTATTTTGAGTCCAACAGTGGCATGCTGGGTGTAACAACACACATTTGACAAACAAAACATTGAGTTTAACAAAGTTGAATACGTACGCACAAACCGTTGAACGATCAAACAGGTTTGGCGGTCACGACAGCACGTGCTTCAAATGTCGTTTTTTCGTTCAGCACGCAGCGTAGTAGGCCGCGTGGCCTCTTGCACTGAACGCGGCCACCTGTGTACGACGCTGTGACGCGCAGGGCAGTGCTGATCACACGCTTGAGATAAGCCAGTGCGTCCGCAGCATTTCACTTACACAACACCCTTGAGGCTTCCCCCATAGATACAAATCTTGGCGGAGGGCGAGGCTAGAAGAGTTAACCGGCAGAGGCAAAATTAGGACAAAGGCGAGACAGCTTGCAGCCTAAGCATCGATAACAGGGCTGGAAGACTCGAGAGCTCTGAGGCGTTCTTTAGAGCTCACTCAGCAGTCGTTCGGAAAAATATGCCACTATTGGATCAGGTGAAAAACGGTGAGTCTCTGGTCGACAGGTCATTAGAGCGGGGGATATCAACGGTGCGAGTACGATTTGAGCATTACGAAGATCAACGATGGGCGAGGATAAAATTCAATGATTAGGTCTTAATTGATCATTTTGAAACAGGGTTACGCTGTTTTTATATGGTAGACGTGCTAGCTAGGGTCACAGCTATTGAACGATACGCAAATCTAGCAACGTCAAAGCAGCAGAAATAGGTAAATGGAGCGTCAATAATGGAAAAAGGACTTCAGAACAAACGAGCTATTTAACTGAGATGCAAGTTCGGGATCAAAGAACGTCCGGCTACTGGGTGGTGTGCAGCATGCCAGTTTGTTTCATTCTTCTCGTTAGCTCAGGATGAAGCGTTGCTTTCCGACGCGTTGGTGCATTCGGACCGACCGTCTCATGCCGA